GGCACAGGGCCGTGCTTTGTGACATTCCTTTTAGGACGCCTTTTGTTCAGCAGTGGACTTGTGAATGACTGTTATAATAATAATAATAATAGATTAGTGTGTAACAAAACAATGTATGTTAAAACAAGTTTCTTTTAGGTTTATAAAATGACTTTCATTCTTTTTAAAATACTAGTAATGCTATTAAACATTACTAATATTCCCTTTAACCACTGTCTTAGAAGTGGTTCACGACAGTTGTACGGGTTGCAGCACGTACATTTCTGTAGCGGCAGCAGTTTACGCTATTACGCTACTATAATGCATTTTGAGTCAGTGCGGTAATTGAGCCCAGCAATAACAGTTGCGCGTGCTCGCAGTATCATTTCCCATCTATCATTAAATTAGATTTAGTTGGTTCTATCAATAAACTATCAATTATCAACTTCCGAGTATTGACTATCATTTACTATCAACTACTGTCAAACGATCAAACGTGGGGATTCCGTCGCAGGCCCTAAGTCGAATGGTGGATTCGAACCCACGACCTTTCGAGTACGCGGTCCGCGCCCTGCCATTAGGCTACTGACGCTTAATAAAATTTCAATAAGAATTACATGTAATCTATATTGAATAAAAAAATATTCTATTCTTCTTATTCTATTCTATATTTTATGATGATGAGTTTAACATTAATTTAAATTTGAAATAAAACCCTTGTTGATTTTAAATAATATCATAAGTGCTTGTAGTGTACGGATATGGCAATAATTGCACAACAATCCCCCGACTGATGTAACTGTTGACGCGGTGTCCCGTCCAGTCAGACCTAAACGCATTAACGCGGGGACGGCGGGCGAAGGGGGCACCAGCGTCGCGCGTCGTTTCCACTTGGTTATGCCTTTTATGCAACGATTCATTACCAGCGGCGTTTAAATGGGGAGAGTGAACAGATAGCCACATTTATTACTTTTGTCAGCGGAAAAATGAATTTACACACCAGTAACCTTGATTTCATGACTGTCTACGGGTGGTAGGCGGCGATATAGTACATGAGCGAAATTATAATATGGTGTCGTTGTATCTATGATTTTTATCCGTTATCACTTTTAACGGGGAGAGAATGGTTTAAGACATTAGAACTGCCCTATGTAAACCTTTTTTATAAAAGCAAGTATTATTTATTAGAATTGTATAATGTGTTATTTGTTTCCATGCATTAAATATTTAAATCTAAAATAATTTTTATATTAGAAAAAAATCATAAGCATTACCAGCTGTAAATGTAACTGTATTCATGACTCTCAAAATAAGTACTAAAAATATACCATATGGTGTGCTGATAACTATAAAGTATTTTAGACATATTGACGTTTCTTTTGGTCTACGTGTAATTAAAAGCTTATTAAAAACTTTTTTAGGACTCTCTTTTGTACAAGTGTTGTGGGTTTCTTGTAAAATTTACGCATCCTTAGAATTCTAAAAAATGAATTAAGGTCACATGCTTAATTAGGTTTTACACTAGTTGGTTCGGCTGATGTTGTTCTGCCCTGTCCGAAGGAGGCCGATGAGTTTCACTCTAAATTCATTCTGTATAGAGATGTAAAGTATAAATACATCATTTATTCATCGCACCTCATTAAATAATATAAAATTTATTCACGCGACCTCTGCACCCGTTTTCGGGCCAAGATTTTGTGATTTTCTTTGTTAGCAGTAAACCAAAATATATTGTAAGTATTGAATCACTTTGGTCCATAAATACAGAATTAGTTTATATTTTAACTACAGCGCCATCTATCGGATCCTAGCATAGCTATGAAACATCGTTTCGATAATGTGTGAATATTATGATATATTTTTTTTTTCAATATGAGCTCTCAGATATTTTTTAAAATCGTGTTTCAGTGTCTGGCTGGCAAAAATTATACATCCGTAAGTAAGATGTTGTGAAATTTAAAGCAGTATCTTGAAAACCCTATCGTGGGGCGGCGAAATTACAAAAATCTATCACCCCGTATTTTCTCGTAGGTGTCGTAAGAGGTGACAAAAAGCGCGAAAGATCCCAATACTGCAATCACCAATTTGCCCACAAGTCTTGCCGATTATGGTTAATCTCCTCTAGTGTGGGTATGTTCCATATACAACAGTCAACTGTTTCGGGCTGATAAAGAAAAGAGTAAAAGAAAGATGCAAAAAAATGCAAAGATAACTAAATTTCAAATAAAGTCAAGTATTCAACCGCATTACTGAGACGATGTTTCATTGCCGTGTAGTGGCGGTTAAGAATATCCACTACCCCATTTCTTCCCGTAGATGTCGTAAGAAGCGACAGTGGGAAACAGGCAGGAGATGGGCAGCAGCATCTTCCTGATAACAGCAAGATTACAATAAAAAAAACTGCGGTTGCCAACCCGCTTGCCAATCGTGGCAACTATGGCAAATATCCCCCACAAAATGAAAGTTACGAAGAGACGGCTCCCAGTCCCCAGCGGCTCCGCTATTCCTAGCAACGGTGGCAACCATGGTGAAGGCGGGGCAGGGGGTGGTAAGAATCTCCGGTGTGAGTTCGGTTGCCACCTAAGACGACTCTACCTGGCAACATACATCGCACGCACCCTGAGTACTGACGAGAAGATCCTGCAGCTGGAAGAAGAGATAGACAAGTTACGCTGGAATATTATAGGATTATCCTTGTTGTTGCTTGTTAGTTGCTTACCTTATACTTAAAATCACCAAACGGATTTCGCTGAAGGACATATAGGTTTACTCACCAACCTTGGCACATCCCAATGAGGAGGTGGAGGAAAAGTATGAGGGTATTTCTAAAGCCATGCATTCCTCCAAAACCCTATACACGGTGTTAATGGGAGACTTCAATGCAAAACAAGGGACAAGAGAGAACAGTGAGCTGAAAGTAGGGAAATTTGGAATAGGGCAACGGAACCCAAGGGTCCAACAGACGACTTCATGGGAAAAGAGGGACTCTTTATGACCTGGTCAAGCCCCGACGGTTCGACAAAAAATGAGATTGACTTCATTCTGAAGACCAGACAACAACTGTTAAGTGATGTCTCAGTGATCGCGAGGGTGAAAACTGGTAGCGATCACCGAATGGTTAGAGGCACACTGAACCTAAACGTTAAGTTGGAGAGATCTCGTCTAATGAAGTCGACGCTCTAATCCGAAGTCCCAAAACCTTTCAGCTCGAGTTACTAAACTGTTTTCAGTACCTAGAAGATTGCAATGCAGTGGACGATATGAATGACAAGCACGTGGAAACTCTCCATGCGGTTGGAGCTAAGTTTTGCAAGACTCGCCGCAGAAGAACACAAAAACTCTCGGATCACACTCTTAATCTCATGGCTGTTAGACGTGAAATGTCTTCAGTCTTTAACGGATTTGACAGAATACAGGCAACTGAACAGACAGATCTCCAAATGCATGCAGGAGAGCTTACGCAACTTCAATACAGCTTGTATTGAAGAAGCGATCGAGCGGAACCAAGACTCCAAAGTCTATACCGGCGCATAGTAGGGTATCAAAATAAAGAAAATTACAAAAATGTATATTAGTTACATTTTTAAATTTAATTAGGAATAATTTGTTTCATCTTAACTAGTGATGTTCAGAAGCTGTAACGATTTATTATCAGGTGGACTGCTCGTTTGTTACTCGTCTTAATCAATAACGTGTCATGAACTGTTACGAAATACGCCATTTCCAGATTAATAGTCCTGCATAAATTGCTCGTAAAATACTAATTTCTTTCGTACGTTACACAGGTGCGATCTCGCATGTCTCGCTATTAACACGGGCGATACATATTAATCACATTTCCTCCGGCGAAATACGTCCTTGTCGATCGTTTTAATTATCGAGAAAATTGAAATAAAGTATCATAGTGTCCCGCGCGAACCAATATTTTTGCTATAATCTATACTTTTTGGTATTCAACGTGTATTAATAGAGTAAAAATATAAATATATTTAAATACTTATATCGCATTACTTAAAATATTTAAATATTATATTATAAAATATATAAAAATTATAGTATTTTTATTATTAGATTTTTCTTTCGCCCTTTTTGTCTTTTATAATTAAAAAGTTATATTTTATAGGATTAGGATGACAAACGAGCACACAGTCCACCTTATGGTAAGTGGTTGCTGTGGCCCACAGACATCTATATCTATCCTCGATTACGAATTAAAATGCAGATGCGTTGTCACCCGTGAGGACTAAGATGGAATGCCTCGTTTCCAGTAAAAAGGTTATCTGCACTCACCATGCGAAACACAGCAGCATTGAGCTGCTATTTTACTCTGGTATTCTGTGAGAGCGTGGTCTTTCCCCGATCGAGCCGACCCATTCTTGCTACAACTATACCAATAATATAGCTGCAGCATGGCTCTACCATGTGAAAAATAATGATGATATGCAAAAAGTTCAATAAAACTAGACTCCAAACCCCATATTATTGTTTCACTAATTCGGTCTGGAGTAGTTCATCTGACTACTCACTGTTTCTATGAAGCAGGGGAAAGCCCGCCACCCACTGGGCACAGGATTCCGCGATGTTATAAATAAGATATAGCCAACGAAAAGAAGACCTGTGACCAGTTCTCAAATGAATGTTGACTTCTGTTTCCTTTCAATAAAAAAGGTTTACAAGAAAAGCATTTTCTTGTAAACCTTTTTTATTGAAAGCGGGATGGAAAGTATGTACCTAGATGAATGATATTATATATAAAAATCGTTTATAATATCATTGGCCTAGATCTAATTGTTTTAGAGTTATTGGGGGGGAGGGGGAGTTGAGATTGTTTCGAAATGCTTTTTGTGAATATATACACTACTGAGGCGTCGTTCTTTTTTCCGATCCTGGTTTTAAATTTTCGAAAGAAAAGTATGAAAACATCATTAAAGTTACGAAAAATATTTCCTTATTTATACGAACATAACTATTGTGATTTTACATGAATATAGAAATCTACCAGTTCTTAATGTTTGTTACAGAAATGCTCAATATGAGACCTTCCACGTGGAACAGAAGGGCTATGATCAAATGTATGATGGCGAGGATCTCGAAACGCCACCATCACCGGAGAGACCGCCGCCACGACCAATAGGTTCGTAAATAACATTTTCTTCCAAATAAAGTAAATAATTAATATGTTTAAAATTGTTAGATTTATCCACAAAAGTTCTAATACAAAAATGAAATATTTCCATAGACAAATATATGCGAGCGGAGTGCCCCTGCCTAAGTGCGCGTTACACCGTGGCGCTGCTAGCCTGTTTCGGGTTCAGTATCATGTTTGGCATGCGCTGTAACATGAGTATGGCTAAGCTTAAGATGATTGAAAAGCATAACGTAAGTACTTAATTTTAAATTCTTTGATTTTATTTACAAATTAGTTTTTAGTTTTTATATTTAACGTGGTAGAGCCATGCTGCAGCTATATCACTAGTATAGTTGTGGCACGAATGGGTCGGCTCGACCGGGGAAGGACCACAATCTTACAGATCACCATCTTAAAATAGCAGCTTAACACTGCTGTGTTTCGGATAGTGAGTGTAGAGAACCGGAGATCCTTTTTACTGGAAAAGAGACATTCCATCTTAGTCCTCACAGGTGACAACGCATCTGCATTTCGATACTTTAATGAGGATAAATGTAATTGTCTATGGGTCACAGCAACTACTTACCATCAGGTGGACTGTGTGCTCGTTTGTCACCCTTATTCTATAAAAAAAATTACAAACTGGCTGAGCAGACTAACCCATTATCCCAACAATTAGATGGGCAAACTTTTTATTAACTTATAGAGAGATTGCGCATTCCTTGAATCAATCAATGAATTAATTTATGAAAGGCTTTTGCACTGTGTTGAATAAAAGCAAAAAGGCTCACAGGACTTGGAAAGTATTTGTTCTTTTTCTAATTTTTCGTTACCAGCCTGATACAGATCGTTGCTAACGGACCTCTTCCATATAGCCCTTAACAACTCCACTGCTGAACAATGCCATAAATCACGGTCCTATGCCACCTTTTTTTATAGAATAAGGGTGATATACGAGCACACAATTCACCTGTTGGTAAGTGGATGCTGTGGCTCATAGACATCTACATGTATCTCCAATTAAGAACTAAAATGCAGATGCGTTGTCACCCCTGAGGACTGAGATGGAATGCCTCGTTTCCAGTTGAAAGGGTCTCCGGTTCTCTACACTCACCATACGAAACACAGCAGAATTAAGCTGGTATTTTACGCTGGTATTCTGTGAGAGCGTGGTCCTTCTCCGGTCGAGCCGACCAATTCCTGCTGTCAACACAATTAGCTGCAGCATGGCTCTACCACGTAAAACCCTGCACCATTTAATTTTTGCATGTAATAACAAGTCATCACCCTACAGTTGACTTACTGGTAAGAGACTGCTACTTGAGAATCTTTTTCCTCATCGATTCTCTGTTTCTATATGGCCAGACCTTTACTACTTTAGCTTGCTGATTTGTTGTGGTATGTGGTAGTACTCTGGTTCTACTGCGGATATATCCATTACGAATGTTATCATGCGGAGAAACTCCGAGCAAAGCTCCCCACACATCTCGAGGCATAGACCTATAACTGGGGTGGATTTGGTGCACAATTGCCATGCTATAATCGCCAGCCAGGTAATGGCGGGTTAGCGATTGCAATACCAGATGTCTCGTATCTTCTACGCTGCCCCGTTGCCGGTGTGTGTATTTTAAGTCCACGCTTCCTAGTTGGTTATACCGCCAGCTATAGGAAGTCATAAGTCCTTTTTATCATTTATCATAGTCACCTCTTATGACACCTGACTACGACCAATATTATTAAGTCAATAATTAAAAATTAAAAATTTTGTACAATCGACTTCAATATAAATTATTAAGAATAACTCAAAAACTATTGGTCAGACCTTAATCAAATTTATATGGGACCACATGTGAAGCACCAGCTTTCAAATAAAAAAAGAATCATCGAAATCGGTTCACCCAGTAAAAAGTTATGAGGTAACACACATAAAAAAACATACAGTCGAATTGAGTACCGACTCCTTTTTGAAGTCGGTAGAAAAAAAATCCAAATATTAAATTCTCTTACGCGCGGTGTACCTCTGCTGACAAAATAATACCTTACCGTAAACCAACTGAACGGCGATGGAAAGAAGAATCGCCAGGGCGAGAGTCGAATGGCGATTTTTGTCAATGATGGCAATAGTTATAAGTGCTATAAATTACCATATTCTTCTATTGCAGCACTTGCGTTCTTTATATGGGTGCTTGCTTATTGGACTTTTATAGAACTAAAATTAAAATTTCGCGCTAAAACCAAAGCAATAATGCTAACAGAAATAAATACAATATTCGAAACAATTATCGCCAAGAGATTTTTTCATGTGTAATTATATTTTCTAACAATAAATATTATTTCAGTCCTCGAAAGGTGTTTACGAAAACACCCCGTTTAACTGGACAGTGGAAGTTGAATCTTCGATTGATTCTTCTTACTTTGCGGGCTACATCATCACCCAACTACCAGGCGGCTTTCTCGCAGCCATGTATCCAGCAAATTGGATTTTCGGTGTAGCAATAGTGGCATCATGTTTGTTCAATATGGCGATTCCTGGTGCCATGTCCGTTGGACCGGCGGCCGTTGTTGTACTTAAAGTAGCTCAGGGGTTTGTTGAGGTAAGTAGAATTACTTAAAGAATTTATTACTTCTTAAGAATTTATTTATATTCTACTGCGGGTACAGGCCTCTTTTTTTTTAAATAGGTTTTTACACCGAAGGAAGAGTTACCCATAGTCTCATTTCGTGTTGACAGACTTGAAATGTCCTGAAAACATAATTTATTTTTTAAGGCATGGTAATTATTAATATAGAGAGTTATTTTCCAATAACCAGCCAAATTTGCAGAGAAGGTAAAAAAAGAAGTAACATAGGCAAATGGTGACGAAGAATTTATTTAAAAATATCTCAAACTTTGTGTCCTTTTTATCTATTGAATTCAAAATGCGTGGTAATGCATTATTTTAATACTGCGCATGTACACATTCGTAAGGGTCGATCGGTGGGCAAAAACGTTGTTGCCCATAAATTACATTCAATTTGGGATAATTTCAAATAAAAGTAGAAGCCTTATTTACTCGTGTTTTATACTCGTATTTAAACTTTGGCTACTCTTTGAAAAATAGCCCTGTATATATATATATATATATATATATATATATATATATATATATATATATATATATATATATATATATATAATTATTACTATTATTATTTAAGATATTATGGTCACCGCTGAGCACGTGGAAAACTAACACTTTAAAGCCTCCTTCATAGATAACCTTATACTGCTACAATATTTGTAGCAGTTTTTTTAGCAGTAAGATGCTGCTGCCCATCTCATGTTTCATTTCCCTCCGTCATCTCTTACGACAGCCACGAGAGTATTAAGTACAATCATTTTCATGAAGTAGTAAGGGTTTATTCTTATTATTTTAATCTATACTATAGTAAAACTAACACGACGTCTGTCTGAACACACATTAACAAAAATCTGTGAACCGATTTGGATGGGATTTTCACTAGCAGATAGCTGATGATGATAGCTGAAGGAGTAACTTAGGCTATTAAATATTGAAGTGACAAACGAGTTTACAAACAACCTTTTTTATAGGATAGGGTGACAAACGAGCATACAGTCCACCTGATGGTAAGTGGTTGCTGTGACCCATAGACATCCACATCTATCCTCAATAAAGAATCAAAATGCAGATGCGTTGTGAGTGAGGACTAAGATGCAATGCCTCTTTTCCAGTAAAAAAGGGTCACCGGTTCTCTACACTCACCATATGCATCACAGCAGTGTTAAACTGCTATTTTACGCTGGTATTCTGTGAGAGCATGGTCCTTTCCCGGTCGAATCGACCCATTCGTGCTACAACTATACTACTAATATAGCTGAAGCATGACTCTACCACGTAAAAAAACCACCTGATGCCAAGTGGCTACTGCAGCGCGTGGACAAATGTAGCTAACTTTTTAACAAAATGAAGGCTACAGATGCATTGTCCCTCCTGAGGATTAAGAGAGAATGCCTCACGGTTGTAAACATACTGGTCCTTTCTACCCTTCCGACCCGAAGAAAACAGTGCAGACACTGCTATTTGGCAGCAGAAATTAATAAGGGGCTGGTACCTACCCAAACGGATTCCTAGGCAGCAAAATAATCCTATCACCTAGTAAATAGCTACAGTTTGGCTCTATCACGTATTTGTATTTTGTTGCTAAATCATATTAATAAGCCTAATGATTAAATACTGTTTAAAAAAGCCGACTGGGTAAGAAATTTACTAATAAGAGTATTTATTATGCGGTAAGATTAAGCGAGAATGGTTGCTAACCGAATTTAATTCGTGACGAATCCTAAATGGTAAATCAAGTTTGGAAAATGATCAGAGAAACCTCAAGATCATTTTCAAAGACCTAGTTGATTTAGTTCGACGAATTTCTTTTTTTTCTCACAACGAATTTCTTTTTTTTTTCTCACAATGTGGCGTCTGGTTGTCGCCATATTGAATTTTGATTACTGTCATGTCTTAAGTGACACTCACATCATTAAGAATAATCTAAATCAGCTCACGCGTTTGTTTTCTAGAGCACCATAAAGGAATAAACATACATACATATATAGGCTGATAAACACATTACCCTCCTTTGCGTCGCGCAGTCGGGTAATAACGTTAGAATGTGTATCATTAAAGTTTCGGGCGCTAAGTGACATATACTTGAACGTGCACGCGCCACATGCTAAAATTTGTAACATTCAACATTCAGAACGTGACGTTGCATGATCGAGCTTATTACGGATGCTCAAAATTTTGCTCTGTGATCCCTTTCAAATGTACTACTGATCATGCTTGTTCCGTCCTCTCCCCTTCCTTTACAACTTTCATCTAACTTAATTCACTATAGCATAGCATATTTATTATATGCAAATAGCTTGCAAATACAAACAAATAGACTTTTTTTTATAGGAGAGGGGGCAAACGAGCATGCGGCTCACCTGATGGTAAGTGACTACCGCCGCCCATGAACAACTGCACCACCAGGTGAATTGCAGATGTGTTGCCAGCCTTTTAAAAAGTAGGCTCTTTTCTTGAAGGTCCCTAAGTCGTATCGGTCCGGAAAAATCGCTGGTGGTAATCTATTCCATAAGGAAGTTGTGCGAGGAAGAAAACATCTTCTAAATCGCACAGTGGTGGACCGCCAATCATCCAGATGGTATGGATGGTATCGCGAGTTTTTATTGAGTCGTATCAGTCCGAAAAGCTCGATATTTTTTTATGTACATACAAAAAAAACTTTATATAAAAACGTTTTAGAAGAATTTAATGCAGAGCTACACCTATAGTTGTGTAAAACACTGTTGAATGTGCCACAAAAAATAATTTAATTAACTAAAGATATATAACAAAAATTATGAATTATACCTAACATATTATGAAGGTTACCTAACATATTATTTGCCGAACTGGGCAAAAACATGTACTGCTAGTTCTAATGTTTGCTAGAGTATATTCCTTACTTTTTATGCATAAGTGATTAAATGTTGGACCTGTACCTGTCGTACGTGATAGTGACACGCTTCACCGGTTTGATGACTGCAGCACGAATACTTCGGTTCAACCGGGAAAGGACCATGTTCTCACAGAATATTAGTGTAATATGACAGCATAAAAAGCAGAATACCAGCGACACTCACCATACGAGACAGCAGTATTATGATAGTTTCGTATGGTGAGTGTCGATAGCCCCACACCCTTTTTTACTTTGTTACTGGTAACTAGACATCCCATCTTAGTCTTCAAAGATGACAACGTATTTGTATTTTGAATCTCAATTGTTTATAGTTCGTTGATATATTATTATATTCTATAACAAAAAACTGGAAGAAACTATTTATGCATTTCTCACACGAATTTACAAAGGTAAATGAAGTATAAATTTTATCGGTATTTTAATTTTACGCTTTTAACTTTGATATATTATGTAAATAATTTGTACTACATAAATTAAAAGTTTTTTTTAATAATTAAACATAAAAACTATTAATATTTTAATTTCTACGACATAATTTATGTTCTGAGAACACAATAAATCTTAGCATAAGGGCTTTAAACACACACATACACACACACACACACACACACACACACACACACACACACACACACACACATCGAGAGGCTTAGTTTTTATATCGACAGACGGATCGAAATCTATTCGAAGTTGTAGGTACTTGAGCACCGTCGACATCGCTTCCGTGTACAAAGCCTCTTTAGGATTACAGAGCTCTCGGTTGCCTCGGTTACGTATTTATTCATCAACCTATTCCTGAGATTAGCGGAATCATCAATAGCAATACTATCCTATTAAATCGGACTGATTATGAACCAACAATACAATATATTTTATAGCATACAATACAAATATTTTGATAGTCAATTTTTTCCAAAATCCAACAGATGTTCTTATTTGTAGTTGCAGTTTTGTTGTAGTGTAGGTTGTAATTGTTTTCTATTATACCTAATAACATCTCTGAAGTCAACAAACCGATTTTGCTATTCTTTATCGAAAAAAATAAATTAATAAGCTTTATTTAAAATTCCTTTTTTCATATTTCAACCAAGCCAGCGATAGGTAACATTGAGTTATACACTTCATCAATAATGCCTTCTCCACTTTATAATTTATTAGTTTATAAATAATAATAAATATATTCCTTCAATATTGACTAATATAATAAAAAAAATTATTGCGCTTAATATTTACCTTACATTTAAGTTTGCACGTTTTTATATTAGTTATCGAAAAGTAGTCCATGAGATTTTATTTGTGAAGTTGTGGATTAGCGGAGCCTCCTACTATAGGCGCTCTGTGCTTAAAGGGAGTCTCTAGCCATAGGCACTTATTTATGTTAAAATACCTTGTGAAGTAAATAAATATTTTATTATTATTATTTATTATTTCGAGTGCTTTACGATCATGGTCACATGTGTAAAATACGTATAAATAATATACGAAAATATTACATGATACTAAATATTTAATTAATTAATTTAAATTTTTTAGGGTGTTACCTATCCATCTTGCCATGGTATCTGGAGGAATTGGGCGCCTCCTCTTGAGCGTTCTCGGCTGGCTACTCTAGCCTTTTGCGGGACATATGCTGGTATTGTCATCGGCATGCCTTTATCTGGTCTGCTAAGCGATTATATATCCTGGCAAACACCATTTTACTTCTACGGCGTTTCTGGAGTTATCTGGTAAAGTTCAATATTTATTATATCAAATGTACAATTTGAATGTAAATTATTATATTATATTAAATTAAAATATATTATTTTTATAATTTCAAGGTACATTATGTGGCTGTGGTTGGTATTCGAGAAGCCTAGCAAGCATCCTCATATTTCGGGCAAGGAATTAACCTATATCGAGCAATCTTTAGGCACGGCCTGTCAGGCAGCAATGCCCGATTTTTGGAATACGCCATGGAAAGCTTTTGCTACATCCCCACCGGTTAGTAAGTCTTATTTAATGAGTCTAGTAACAAGATAACTAACAAATGTAAATAAAACTACTTTTACGGATTTTGTAGCGTTTAATTTACTTAATTTTAATTCCCGAAGTTTCGGGTGTTCCTAATCTCAGGACACAGTAAGCTCATTCTGCATAGATTGGACCAATAGTATTAATTAAAATCTGAAGGTTCTCCGAATTAACGTTGACATCGAGACGTCAATTACTTCAGTGCCCCCCGTGACCATGGGTGCTGTAAATCACCCGAAACGTCGGGAATTAAAATTATGTAAATTAAACGTGATAAAATCCATAAAAGTGTAGTGTTCAATGTGTAGTTTTCGCGTAAATATAAGAAATCATTAACTAACACAAGTTTTTTTTTCCAGGTGTACGCCATTATAGTTGCGAACTTCTGCAGGACGTGGAATTTTTGTCTGTTGGTCATCTTTCAGTCCGCTTATTTTAAAACGAGATTTAATATGCCAATAACCGAGGTGCTCACGATTTTTATATTTTTGCATTCATAAACAAAAATAAATTATTATCAAACTCACACTTATTATTCCTTGCAGTCGGGTTTCGTGGGCGCCATACCTCATCTCATTATGACATCGCTGGTTCCTATCGGGGGCATGATGGCTGATTATTTACGAAAAAATAATATTATGACGACAACCACTGTCCGCAAACTGTTTAACTGCGGTGGATTTGGTCTTGAAGCTTTCTTCTTTGTTTTGGTAGCTTATGCTGATAATAAAGTAAGTAACTTATACTATTTTTAACGCAAGATTTTTTTCCATTGTATATTTCACTCCCGTTTGTTTATTTTGTGTAGTACGTGGCCACCATAGAGCTGACTCTTGGCGTTGCGTGCAGTGGATTTGCTATATCAGGATATAACGTCAACCATTTGGACATCGCACCTAGATATGCATCTATCTTGATGGGTCTGTCTAACGGTATTGGTACCATTGCTGGTTGTATTGTACCAATCGTCATTAACAACATTACCAAAGACAAGGTAAGTAACTTTTTAATATGATTTATCATGATGTTTTTTCTAAAAGATAAGACCTATCATAATATTGAACGTGTTCAACCGGTAATCTATTGATCTGGTTATACTAACGTCGAACCATATAGGTGTCCCCATAGATGTTCAGGAATAAATGGAATGGAGAGGAAGAATGAAAGAATTTAGAGGAATGAAATGTCTTTTGTTAATGGTACTCGAAAAAAAGCTTGCGATATAGTTATTTAGTATTCAGAAATATGACAGTATTATTCATTTTTATCATAGTCTGTGACCACGAGAAAACTTCTTTTGAAGCCAGACTATAAATGTAAATTAAACTATGAGTAAAGGAGGAAAGTTATCTTCGATTTTCACTCGTGCGTTCAATTGAAAACTGTGAGTGACACACCCCCGCCATATAATAGAGTTCCTAGCTTCTGGAGCTAGCGAAACAAAAAGTACATTCGGCCGTGGCTAATTTAAAAAAGGAAATCGGGCTCGATGCGGCGCGCATTCTGAATATTAAATGGCTGGCTTTGTGGGTGCGCGACGATGCATTACACCGAGCGTATTTCGCGCTGAGCACTTTATTATTGTAACACTTTCTAACCGGAACGAAATTTCGTCTGAACACCCGTTCTACAGAGGGACATAAGTAAAATTATATTGGAGCTGTTATTTGTAAAAGACAATTTGCAATTTCTTAAAACGGTTTAATATGAAATAAGTTTAAAATAACTTTATAGTTTAAAAAAACACCTAACTAATGTTTTTTCACTGTGTCTATTAACAGGAGAATCTCGCAGAAGCAATAACGGAATGGCGTGCTGTCTTTCTTATGGGAGCGACGGTCCACTTTATTGGTATAACATTTTACGCGATATTTGCATCTGGCGAGCTGCAACCATGGGCAGAGCCCACGCAACAGTATGAAAGTCCCATGAAACCTTTGGACCATGAGACTACATTCGTAAGTATTCTTAAGAGATCCTTATATTTATTTAGATAATTGTTAATAAGGCCAATATTAACCTGCAAACGTTTTAGTGTGCATCTGTTATCCTTAAAATGAAATATTGCATGGAAGGATTCACGTTTATTCTTTTTCAATTTTGCCTTTTATAGTTAAATCACATGATACATCAACATAATTTTTAAAGCCACTGCTAGACTTAGGCCATTGTGCCCGCTAAATATTTGCCATTTCTTGCACGAAATACGAGTAGCTTGCTCAGAGTGATGGAAAGACAGCTCTAATAAACCTTATATTTGTAAATCTACTCTTCATCACAAATGTTACTTGACATTTAGGTTAAACGATGATGAATTTTCAGTCATGGGTCACTATAGTCTGTATGATCTGTTTATACACTATAACAAATGTCATCAAAATGTTGCTTGCTAGGGATGTCTAAGTTTTTCACACTCGTATTAAGTATGTATGAAATGGCTATATACGCAGATTTATGGAAAATATATATTTATTTTAAATGTTTATTTCACGTCTATAAATTTTGGAATTATGTGAGCAAATGTAAGGTGTGTTACTGTGCAGGTAAATTTATATTTTAGCGGCTGCACTTTTTTTTTATAGGATAGGGTGACAAACGAGCACACAGTTCACCTGATGGTAAGTGGTTGCTATGGCTTATAGGCATCTACATCTATCCTCGTTTGCGAATCAAAATGCAGATGCGTTGTCACACGTGAGGACTAAGATGTAATGCCTCTTTTCCAGTAAAAAGGGTCTCCGGTTTTCTACACTCACCATACGAAATACAGCAGTGTTAAGCTGCTATTTTACACTGGTATTCTGTGAGAGCGTGGTCCTTCCCCGGTCGAGCCGACCCATTCGTGCTACAACTATGCTACTAATATAGCTGCAGCATGGCTCTACCACGTACAGAAACTTACTTTTATAGCGACGTATTGCTCACACGACACATTGTTTTAGTATTTTAAATATTGTCTAATTAAAGGTATAGACAGAGCAACACGTTTCTCGTTAATATTTTACAACATTTTTTATCTTCAATTTTAATCATCTTAATTCTTTGTTAGTATAGTTTTGATAGTGCTATGCAAACTTAATTTTTATTTTTTATATTTGTATTATATTTTTAAGGTTCTCTTAAAATATTAATGTAGTGCTCTCTTCTCGTATTTGTCATTGTAATATAGCACATCCGGTTTATTATTATATATTTTTTTATTATCAATATTGTTTTAATTCTTGTTTATAGGCCTCGGCGGTGCGCATGCATTATACGTGTAGCTGCGCACCGCTAGGCTGTCTCGCCATGTAAGATCATAGGTGGACCAAAAACGTGGTAAATGAGCTGGTACTTTAAATACTAAAACAACGTGTCCAAGCAATTTTCGTACAATGTCTTCTAATCTATACAAATAAATAAAATTGAAGTTTCTGTTTGTAATGTCAAAATTACAGCTTTTTACTAAATGCATATGAAAGTATATACGGTACTAATAACAAAAATACAATTTTTTAAAGTTTTTGTCTCTGTCTGTCTGTTTGTCTGTCCGTCTGTCTGTCTGTTTGTTCCGGCTAATCTCCGAAACGGCTAGACCAATTTTGACGGGATTTTCACTGGCAGATAGCTGATGTAACAAGAAGTAACTTAGGCTACTTTTATTTTAGAAAAAGAATTAGGGTTCCGCGCAAAAAAAAATTAAAACCCCAAATAACACGCGGGTGAAGTCGCGGGGAACAACTAGTTTATTTATAAAATGTAAATCCAATGTGATGGAAATGACGTTGCTTTGAATTTTAGACGGAGCAGCCATCAGCACCTCTGAAGGGCACAGAAGCTCCTGGCTATGGTGCTATTGCTGCACCGCCTCCGCGTCCCCCAGCGCCTCAACAACACGTCCCCAACAATCCTTTCGTCTCTGGAGCTTTCTACCAAGCCGAACCTGTTCAACCACCAGCCCATGACTACCAACAGCCAAGTGAAGACGGCACTTATTAATAAATTTAGTTACTCCTTTTAAGGTATGTTCATACACCTAAAGTTGATCGTCCCCTGACGTCTTGGTTCAAAGCTCCAAACTTTTTATAGATAGGTAGAAAAATTACGTAAATTATTGTTCTCACTGTGGTTAGCTTGTAATATCGTTATCACTCATATGCATACATATTACAATATCTTTAATAAATATGTTTTGTAAAAACTGCAGCGCGATTTTGTGATTCTAGTAGGAATCGTTTTCCGATTTCAATCACTCTTCTACTTCGTTGTTTATCCACTATGATAATAGTTTGTACTGTAAAGCTCTCGTAAACGAGCTAATTTTATGGCATGTTACAGCTGCAATTGAATATGCGTCAAGTTGGCGTCTATATAGCCCAACGCAGTGTAACATTGCTTAGCCTCCTATAGCTTCAATGTTGCTTTACGTTTATGAACGCAATTGCCCAGCAGTTGAGGAAACATTTCCCAATAACATTGCAGCAAATGTTTCGCTGCCAATATTGCTGGGTTATAATTTTCGGTAACATGCAATTTCTATAGTTCGTTTACGAGCCCTTTTAAATAAGATGTGAATATCAAATGATACCCTCTTATAACCGTTACTTACACATTTACACAATTCAACGAAACTAAACGTCAAACATCAAAGCCCAAGACGATTCCCACCAGCGTTACATAATTGCACTGCTGGTCGTTGATAGTTATTAAGTACTTAGAATGATTTTTGTTGTTTGTTTATGTATGAACATAATTGTTACCTTTACCTCTAGATGTATCTAAGTTACTTAAGAAATTATCTTTTATTCTTAACAACTCTTTATAGTGTACAAATGTATATACAGTACATTGGCATATCATCCAAATATGTTTATTGATTATTAATTGATATTTGATATTTTATGTATTTATGTTAAATCTTTTGTATTATTTATGTAATTTTTATGAGGTAGTATATTTTTAAAAGATATTTAACGAATCCTTACCTTCTAAATTTTTCTACACACCTATACCATTTTCGTCCTTGTTGCCACGTCTCATAAAATTGTTGTATAATGTTTATAATAATATTATATCCAAGAAATTATTTAATTCTAGAACTGATATTGTATGTACTTCAGATTGAAATTAAATAATATGTAAATGTAAAATAGTTGTAGTGATTTAAATAAAATGTTAAAGTCATAGGGAATTAATGTTATCATTCTTATTTTAAATAATATCTTTACATTTAAAGCTTTTATTAGTATATTTGTTACTGTATTTAGTCACATATAGTATTTAAAGATTAAAATTACATTACAGAGAAATCGATGAAGGTCCTTATAATTTTAAAAAGCACACCGCTAAGGATTAAAAAAAAGTTTTTTTTTTCTTTGTATATCTGCACATTTCCCAATTCACCTTTAAGTATATACATAATATAAAATTTAAACTTATTTTAACATAAATTGTCATCCCACCGATGGTTAAAGTTACATATAGAAAAAGATAATATTAACTTAGGTTAAGAAAGAGTTGTATCCTTTAAAATAATAGCTCCACGTATGAAATGCTTTATTGCTTTAAAAAAAAAAACTTTATTCAATTTAGACATAAATTATCATTTAATTATGTTATGGTTGCTTGAAATAATAATAATCTGTTATAGGATTATATTATAGGATATCATAGGATTCGATGATATATTCTAAAAATATATGAAATAAAATAAACAAAAAAAAACTAATTTTACCAATATTTTTACGAAAATATTTTTTTAGTTTCATTATTAAATTACATAAAGAAAATTTTTTTGGAGGAATCGCCAACAAATAATAATTCTGAGCTTTGTGATTGACAGCAATTTCAATAAATGACTTGCCCATTATTTTCTGTTTAAGTTTTAATAATTACGTTCACATTCGGTGATGTTTTACGATGTGATCTCTAAATTCCGAACTGAACAGAATTGTAACTTATTCTAATGTAATGTACTTTTAAATTAATTTAATGTTGTGTATAAACTTATATTATAGTAATCTACTATACAAGTAGGTTAATGTAGGATATGTATGCAAAATAATAAATTACATGCAAATTTCTTATTATTACCATATATATTATGCCTATGTTGCTGTTCACGCTTGTTCCACTTATTCTCCGGTTGACCAAAAACTTTAAAATATTTTTTTATTAATAGAAACAGTATATCGATTTAAAAATTACATTGATTTTTTCATTTAAGTTTGCATGACAAAATTTGTTTTAAAAATAAAAACGAAGACTTATTCAAATTGAATTTAGATCCACCGATGAAATATGAGTGTAAAATGGAATAGGCGATATATAAAAAACTTTTAAGAATATTTGACAATAATCAAAACAATAATTTTTAACTTAAAATATACATATGAGTAGAGAAATTCTTTCTGTTATGTCACTTGTTATTGAATTGCACGTAAAGTAAATAAGAATATCGATCATCATAGAGATATTCGTAGGTATATTACGGATAGTATATTATATTGTACAGTTTCTTAACATTCTTTTGCGTAAAAATAGATTTTGTGTAATTATGTATGTGCTTTTAATTTTAATTGGCTTAAAAATATACCAATTGTTAATTTTAAACTGGCAAAATATAACGGCTTCTTTATAAAATTTATTGATAAATTCAACGAGTAGGTACATTTAAAATTTTAAATATATTTTATTAAATTAGGTACAGCATCTCAAAAGTGTATTATATTGATTTTAACAATAATAAATTCCTTTTTTAGTGCTTTTATAAAATAAAGGTTTTTCCATAAATATATTTTATTACTAAATTCATACTGCAGAGCACGAAAATGTATTTATTTATTTTTTATACAAAAATGGAAATTTGTTATTATCACAGAGCATAATAGTTTAAATTTATTTCTATTTTATTTTAAATTCAGTTAGAATAAAATAAGCTACATTGTATTAATAATCAAAATCAGGAAATACAATTATGATTGAAATATCTAAAGAATTAGTAGTATGACTAATAAAGTTAGTTTTTCTGAAGAATTGGTAGTATGACTAATAAAGAATTAGTAATATGACGATAATTCTTGGACATAGGTGAGAATTATCACAATATTGATATCGTCATTTTAATGCATCGCTTGAATTTGTTTAAGAATATACGAACCTCAAAGTTTAATTAAATAACAGCTGCTGTTAGAAAAATAAAAATAAAGAACATTTAATTTTTTTCATATTCTTTTAGTGGATAGATTAAATAGTAATATAAACAAAAAGATTGATTCAATGTATCTCTACGCCGTCAATTCTGTTGTATAAAGGGATTTTTAAAATAACTTTTAAAAATTGTAGCAATTTGTATTCGTCAGTAAAATTTAAAATTATTTTATATAACGTGACTTCACTTTATTTTCATTATATATTAATTCACTACATCTACGACTTTAGCTTCCTTGAAATAAGGAAGTTTGCAACAGTCTGTTCTTGGTCATACATATATATCTGTGTAGTTAATAGAATCAGACGTTACTTTGCGGAAACACATTATATTATACTACAATAAGCTAAAATTCGCATAATAAAACAAAATGATGTGTCTTACCTAGTATGAAGAGCACCGCCCGCCATCCCTCAATTGCGTGCACAATCCCCGTCACCGCTAATCCCAATACTACTACTTCCAATACCACTACACTAGGAAAGGCACCACCGTCAACAATGTGTTTCGCCTCTACACGAGGCATCCTCAAGTGAAATAGACTCTGCGGTGGCTGACCGCTAAGATCATTTATGGTGTTGGAAATAGTGATGCTGGGATTAGTACATGCAACTGAGGAAGGGCGGGAGCTGCTCCTTAAACTAGAGATTAAGAAACATGTTGTGTAACTTTTGTTTTATAACACGTCCACATTATGTTACATTGTTTTTCAACATTGCAACATATAACAATACTGTACACATTAGAATAACAATGCATTATAAAGTCTCCACATTACTGAACGTTATATAATATTTTTTATTTTATAACATGTTATGTTATATAGTATGTACGCACCGTAAGACACAATTTTATTTCATTACGCGAATTTTAGCTAATTGATTTATAAGATGTTTAATATATATTTTTGATTTATTAGTGTGCACAAGAAGTGCCACATTTTATTTAAAAATATTTTACATAGGATTCCTATGAAAAACGAAATTCATTCATGAATATTTAATAATAGAAAATCACCATTCCGTAGCTTATAATCTGACAGCACAGCAAACAATGAATGATAATTATTTTTCATTTCCCGACAAACTACTTGACGATTAACTTTTTGTCGGTATTAAAAACAAATAATTGCGAGCCCATCATCAGTTATCATCAAGTAGTATCAACAGATAACTAGTGCAATTTAAGTTTAATATTGGATGTGCACACACTGCCGTGAAGGATAAGAGAGCCAGTATAAATACAGCCCATGGGGCATAATATCTTAGTTCTAAGAAATCAACCATGTGTTAGTTTTTCGTACATAGTCGGTTGCACTTGTCCATATTCTTCAGTAGTCATTTACCACCAGGCGAACTGCTAGCTTCTTTGACACTCTAATATTGTAAAATATCCTTTAACCTGAACCTCAAATTGATTTAATTTTTATGCATACATAATAATGAAGATAGTGTCTAAGGCAGGGCCGGGAGTTGAGCATTATTTTAGCGCGAAGAGCTTTTTTCAAAGTTCAGTTTTGTTGAACTCAAAAGTGATGATAATTTTCACGATGTCCAAATTTATGGTGAAAAGGGTACGGATCCCCCAACACTCGTTATCGTGCACGATTGTAATGTTTATGTAGATAGTCAGTACAAATGTAATTATTGTAGACATATTTAAGTCAATATGATAACTGGTAAGTATATACATATATTCGTCGTCGACTTATTATTAAGCCAAAGTTACACTAATACCTAATAGCTTATTCATACCCTCTACAATTATACTTTTATTTATACAGTGACCA